AGGGAGCTTTCAGGACCTCTGGGTGGATGCTAATTTCATGTACAGAGACTATAAACTAGATAAACATAAAGACATGTTGAGACAATTATGTTCTTCTGCAAAATACATATGTTCAGGATGCATATACTATATCTAAAATTTATTACCTTACATTTATCAGACACCATTTCAGAAGAAAATCACTTTATTGTAACTGATTCACAAACATCACAAAAGTTGGTTAAAGGAGGCCAAACATCTGCTCAGCCCCAAACTGAATTATCATCTTAATGAACTTCTACACAGTAAGTATACTCTCTTCCACTGCTATTCTGAGGCAAGGAAACTATTAATGATACAGGAGAGTTAACAAGTAGTTTTATACTTTCACTATCAATTATATATTTTTATACTAAGTTAACTTGGACATGAGAGATGATTTCCCATTTCTTCAATGCGACCTTCTTGATTAGGCTAATCCTGCAAACAAAAAAGGTACATTTAGAAGAGCACTGGCTGTATAGTCTTAACAAAACTGAAGCCCTCCCAGTTATGAAAGGAGAGGAAAAACCCAGAGTTTCTTTAATAAGTTATTGTGGGCATCCTATAACCAACAAAACATTCTGCATTTGTCACAGCTAAGAAAAGACAGGGCACATGTGCTTCTGGGGACAGAGTCCTGAGGCAGAAAGATAGCCAGTTTGATACTGGATATCCCTTCATCAAAGAATTCTGAAAAACTTGGACATGAAATCTCTTACTTCCACAGTTCAACCACCTGAAAGGATTAACTTTTCCCTTATGTCCTACCCAAAATGAAGGGGGGAAATGAAAATAAACATTTTAATAGATGGTGTATTCTTAGGTGGATGGAAGGAAATTATGTGAAAACGAGCTGACATTCCGCAAAGCCTAAATTGCAGAATTCTGGTGAGGGACTTAATAAACTTGTCTAATAAGGCATGCAGAATGCCAATAATATTAGTCTTTATGTGCATTCCTGGACTTTGGTGAAAATAGAATTTTGTATTCATAACCTTAAGTCTAGATCACTCACATGCAGTTATCCTCAATAAGATCCAACACACTAATCTATACCTATTTAAGGAAGAATCAGATTCAGAACATAACTGGTAAAGGATTAAGATAATGATTAGAAATCTCTGCACCAGTTTGTTAGAAGTTAGCTTATCTTTAGAGTAATTTTAACAAAATCTCCTCTAATTGTCAGTTTATTAAACACAGATTCCCTAAGTTCTATAGGATCTAGGAGCACAATCATTAAACAAATTGAGCTTATGCAAGTTCAATCATGAATTGATATATCACCTACCATTTGCAAATTTGCATTGTTTCAGCACCTCGCTGAAACCCTCACAAAGCTTAAGGTCACCCTGGTTCTGGGCACAGTCCAAAAACTGTTTCATCTCATAGTGGCATGGGCCAAACTGCTGCTGCTGCTGGTATGCCTGCGTTCCCTGGGGCTCCTGCAAAGGCATAACATTCAGAAACGTTTAGAAAGGAAATCAGACTTAACCCTGAACAAAGAGCAGTGTCCACTGTCTTTGAGGTTAACTGGGAAACAGAACTAAACCCAGCTGCAAATTAAAGTTTTCAGCTAATAGCAAGGAAAGTGAGATTTTTTTCAAGGTAGAAAATTAGCTTTAGCAAAATTCCAGTTGTAATCAGCAAGATTTAAGAAAAAAAAATGCAAATAAAATAAAATGGTTATCTAGGCATTTAAAGACCAGTGAAGTTTCATGGAGGAAAAAATGGGACTACTATAGAAAAATAGGTGGATGAAAGTTTCAAGTATAACACAATTACAACAGAGTACACACCCATGGCTCATCAGAGGAGAAAATTCACAAACCTCAGAGAGGCAAGTGGCAAATGTCAGGTAAGAGATCAGAGAGCAGAGAGCTTCTAAAGAGATTTTTTTGAAAACTAAGATTGAGCCCTTAGTGAATAGAGTGTCAGCCTGCAGACTGAAGGGTTCCAAGTTCAATTTCAGTCAAAGGCACATTCCCGGGTTGCGGGCTCGATACCCAGTAGGGGGCGTGCAGGAGGCAGCCGATCGATTCTCTCAGATCATTGATGTTTCCATCTCTCCCTTCCTCTCTGAAATCAATATAAAAATATATAAAAAAGAAAACAAAGATCAAGACTGAATTAGTTCAGGGTAACCAGACAAAATATTTAAAATAAGAAAAAAATGGCTGTTTTACAGTGAATCAGGTTGAACTACTAGAGTTCTACATCTTGGGAAAAAAGAAAATTTATACAGTACTTACTGATGCTGGCCTGAGGCACTAACTCAACTGCCAAGCGTGGCTTTTGATAAAACATTTTCTGTTTAACAGCATTGTGGATTCTAAATTTACACACAGTTCTTACACACAAGGAACTTACAAACTAGGTTTCCTCATTAAATATACCACTGAAGGGCAATGCCGCCCAAAGTCTTACCTGGTAGGTGATGTCAGGCCTCGAGGGCTCAGCATTACTTCCTCCACTGAAGCCCCCAGTGATGGCATGACCCAGCGTGTGGCCGACAGCAGAGCCCACAGCCACACCAGCTGCAGTGGTTGCCATCTGGGCCATTAGACCTGGCTGCCGGGGTGCAGCAGCAGGTGCGCCAACAGCAGATGGTGCAGCTGGTGCTGGTGGGTGAGCTGCTGGTGCTGGCCTGGGTGCAGCTCTCATCTGAGGTGCCCGGCTGTGAAAGTAAAGAACAGAAAGTATGCAGTTCCTACTTCCAACCAGGTTTGGAAACTGTCAAGGTAATACTGCATACATACAAGAAAACTTTACAAAACACAATTCCCTAAAGTTCCTGTGGTTGGCAAACTGCGGCTCATGAGCGACATGCAGCTCTTTGACCCTTTGAGTGTTGCTCTTCCTAAGCCTTAGGACTACCCTAATTAAGTTAAGAACAGTGTACCTACCTATATAGTTTAAGTTTAAAAAATTTGGCTCTCAAAAGAAATGTCAATCATTGTACTGTTGATATTTGGCTCTGTTGACTAATGAGTTTGCCCACCACTGCCCTAAACTATTGTTACATTTTCTCTCTTTAACCTTTTGTTTGGGTTGCAACCACCAAGTATAAACTATTTTTTCCTGCTTCTTTGCAACCATTTCCATGTATTCAATAGCCCACAGTATCTTTAAAGAACACAGTTTTTCCAATACTTCATAAAAATTGTAAAATATTAAGAGTTTAAAATATTCTCACAGACTTCATCACAAGTGCTAAGGAAAAAATAGGGAGCGAGGGGGAGCATGTTGTGGGATGTCATAACTTAAGGACAGTCAAAGGAGATCGCCCTGAGCTGGTAACATTTGAATGAAGACCTGAACTTCGTCATCAGGGGAAGTAATCTGGTCAAATTCCTTCATTTTACAGATTAGAACACTGTAGCCCAGTGACTAAGTGACTTGCCTTAACTGTTATACCAAGATTAATCTCAACTATTTCCCATCTGTAGGACAGTTGGATGCTTTCAACTATTTCAGTAAAATCTTCATGCCCTGACGGTTTGGCTCAGTGGATAGAGCGTCGGCCTGCAGACTGAAGGGTCCCGGGTTCGATTCCAGACAAGGGCATGTACCTTGGTTTCGGGCACATCCCCAGTGAGGAGTGTGCAGGAGGCAGCTGGTCGATGTTTCTCTCTTACCAATGTTTCTAACTCTCTATCCCTCTCCCTTCCTCTCTGTAAAAAGTCAATAAAATATATATATATTAAAAATCTTCATATAAATTATGCTCCCCCCTTCCAGTTTTCAAATTCTTCCCCCAAATAAGGCCAGGTCAAAAGTTTATGATTTCACTTTATAAAAAGGTGGTTATTGCCCAGGCGGCGTGGCTCAGCGGTTGAGCACCGACCTATGAACCAGGAGGTCATTGTTCGATTCCCCATCAGGGCACATGCCTGGATTGCCGCTCAGTCCCAGGAGGAGGCATGCAGGAGGCAGCTGATCAATGATTCTCTCTCCCCCTTCCTCTCTGAAACCAATAAAAAATATATTTTAAAAAAATGTGGTTATCTGCCCTCTGAACAGAAGTTTCTTTTCACAAGCGAACCCCTTCTCACACTCCTAGCACACTGTATGAACACAATCCAGTGAAGCAACAGGGCCTGTGCTAAACGTCCTGAATTGGTCACTGGCTTTCCCACTTCCCGGAGGCATGACCTTAGACAAGTAATTTATTACGAGTCGGTTGTTTTCTTATTCCTGTCAAGTAGGGGTAACACCGATCTCTAGGGTTACCATGAGGTGTAACTGGCAGTACATTTTACAAGTACTTTAGAAACTAGAACACGTCACGTACACGTGAGGGCCTTAGTGACTGTGTCCGCTCGTAGGCTGAGACCCCCAAAAGGCTCACTGCTCATGGCAGGTGCTCACAGATTATTCCCTGAATTGAAATCCGATCATTTCCCGATTGTTACCTCTCTTCTACACTTTTTTTTCCTGCTACTTTGAACGTTTCAGCCTGTTTCCACTTCTTTTTACAACTTGGCTATTTTAACTTAAAATGAGCTACGAAATATTTTAAGCAATAACTCATGGGCGTTCGAAATTAGAAAACTTGCCACTAATGGGAAAAATCTAGCCAAAGGCGCACGAAGTCGGGCCCCCGCCGCATTGGCCTTCAGACGCCCGGTCCGCGGCCTCCGCCAGCCTCCGCCCGGCCACCCTGCGTCACGGCACCCACGGGCCCCCAGCCCCGCGAGGACCTCACCTGGCCGGAGGGGCCATGCGGGAGGTGCGGCTCCGGCTTCCACGCGGCATCGCAACTGCGCAGCGAGTCGGCGTCTGCAAGTGCGAAACTCCTAGAAGACCCCGGCGGCTTCTGCTGAGCGCGAGAGAGCGGAAGACGGGGGGCGGGGCTGGAAGCGCGCGACCAATCAGCGCACAGGCAGGGCCCTTCCGTTTGCCGACGTCTCCGAGGGCCCTGAAGGTCACTGAAAGAGCGTGACCACGCGATGGCGCCTCGTCGCACGCGGTCGGCGTCAGGAACTGGGCGCCGGGGCTGTTTAGAAAACCGGAAGTGCCTGTGGCAAACTTGCCAGTCCTAGCCCAGCGTGAGTCAGAACCGGTCGCTGGTTAAGGGTCCTCGGGCCGGTGCGTCTTCCTTCAAACGTTCTTATGACTAACGTGGTACGTCACATCCAACCTTGAGAGTCAGACCTCTGTCGGGACTACCACTGGACCTTGGGGCAAGTTACTTTACGTTTCTCAGCATTAAATCATTTAGATAAATATTTTTTGAGGCAGTGTGGGCACGCAGTATGAAACGAGGGAAAGTGAAAACTTGAGACAAGAATCAACGAAACAAAGTTGGTTCTTTTTGTATTTCTGTTGTCTGCGGACCCAGTCAGCAAAAGTTAATCGTGCTGTACGTGTATGTATTACTATACGTTTTAACCATTTCACATATCTTATAGAATTTTTGCCCATGATTGAGGTAGCATTCACGGATAAACATGTTCTGATCTACAAGTGCCAGCTGGGTTGAGACAGCGCCGAATGAAACAAGACGACAGCTTCCTTAGTTTAAATCCAGGGAGGAGAGACACAAGCGCCTGTACAGGTCGGGTGATGGTGACGGAAGCACAGTCCTTGAAGTGGGGAAGCAAGCCAGGCCTTACCAAGGGTAAGACCATTCCTGGCAGAGGGAACAGCAATTGCAAAAGGCCTCAAGGGCCTGTGCTGCAGTAATAGTTGGTGCGAAATGTTAATAATAACATTTTAGAGCCTCTGCAGTATAGGGGAAAAGTTGGCTGCTGGCATTTCAAGGAGGGCTTCATGGGAAAGTCCTTGGGGATGGGGTGGAATTTATGGAGGCGGGAAAGCAGAGGTGGAACCTCCATTTCTTCTTGGATGCCCATCAGAAATTTACCCCCTTCCACCAGAGGTAGCAGAGTTTAACACAACCTTTCCAGCAACAGCAGGGTGTTTCTGGAATCCAGGGGTAAATGCAAAACCTTTTCATGAAAAACCAAGTTTTATTTTCATAGGACTTCTTAAAGAAATTAAAGCTTTATAAATGATAAGACGTTGGCCCTAGCTGGTTTTGCTCAGTGGATAGAGTGTCGGCCTGTGGACTGAAGGGTCCTGGGTTCAATTCTGGCCAAGGGCACATGCCTGGGTTTCGGGCTTGATCCCCAGTAGGGGCCATGCAGGAGGCAGCCAATCAATGATTCTCTCTCATCATTGATGTTTCTGTCCCTCCCTCTTCTTTGAAATCAACAATAAATATATTTAAAAAATAAAACTTCTGTTATCTACGTAATTTGAGTAGAATTTTTACTGCACTCATCAAGAGCCCATTCTGAGCCTGCAGTCCAGGTATATGCCCTGACTAGGAATCAAACCGTGACTTCCTGGTTCACAGGTTGACACTCAACCACTAAGCGACACTGGCTGAGTGATAACAGAAATTTCAAAACTGTACAAATCCTGTTCCAGAAATTCCATGTCTAGGAATGTAAGAAACAATCGTGAGAAACATAAAAAACTGAGTCATATATGTGAGAAGGAATTAAGTGTAAGGGTATTTAACAATATTTGTAAAATAGGAAAGACCTATAAACAATCTAAATGTCCTACAATATAGAATTAAATGTTATCTACATATACACTGAGTGGCCAGGTTATTAATACCACCTGACGTTTGTAGGCAAATTAGCTATAATTTCACGCTGAAGTTGCTAGAGGGCCAGACCAT